GCTTAGTAGATTTGGGGAAGCAACCTGACACTCCGACCTTCCGACCACTCAGCCCCAAATCCTTAGCACCTGACCAGAACTGGGGTGGACATGCTAAAGCCTAGAAAGCTACGACGATTACTATTTACTATTACTGTGTTCTATTACTATTTTACTATTGCTATTTACTATTAGTATTTGCTGTTACTTGTTCTATTGCTGTTTTCTATTACCGTTTTACTATTACTATTTACTTTTGCTGGTTTCTTTTGCTATTTTCTTTTGCTATTTCTATTACCGCTTTACTACTACTGTTTACTATTATCATTTATCGTGCTTCATCCCCGCTCAAAAAATTCCGCAAAATCCAAGGCCAGAACGTTGCAGCCTTCGGCCGGGCATGCAAGCTCAGCAGCCTTACTCTGGGTCATTTGTGGGTACGACTTTTGATCTTTTATATGCAAAACCAAACAGTGTATACAGACTTGCAACTCTCCTTGAATCTGGCCTCTTAAGCAAGGTCGGATGACTGGACTGGAGGACCATGCCCCTATCCGTAGACTTTGAGGATTCAAGGGCCAGGGTTTAGGGTTTAGGGTTTGGGGTTGGGCCGGCGGTCTTTAAGGGCTTGAGTTCAGGCACGTTGCCACTTTCAAACCTATTCTTGGCCTCAGGCAACCTCTACAACGGAGGAGCGGGGTCTGGCATGGATTGCAATCGAGTCTATTAGAAACATGCTTAATTTCAAGGTTCCGACATTCATACCATAGATCCCTAAACCAAAACCCTAAACCCTAAACCCTAGACTCTAGATCGTATGCCTCACCGCAAATACTCGTTGGCATCCTGAAGTCATTATACCCCGATGCTACACAGCCCTAAGTCCTAAACCCTGAATGCTACGGAGGATACCAAAAATCCTGCACGACCTTCCCTAAGTACCTTATACGTGGGGGACTATGGTACTATAGTATATTAAGGTCATGCAGGATTTTTAGTATCGACGGTACCAGTCAACTTCAACAGGAGTATGCGGCTCAGCCACCGCGGTTGCCCCGAGCCCGCTGGCGGTGAGCTCTGCTTTCCGCCACAGGCAAGCTTCGCAACCTCAGGATGATGTTCAGTTGCAAGATGCATACAATATAAACATATACACATGTATATGTACATGTATATATATATGGTGCATATACATATAAGAATGAATATTTCTGTTTCTACATTACTTTGGATTAAATAAGAAATTCCCTGATGAAGGCCACAAAGGGTAGGTACGTAGGCGGGGGGGTGGGGGTAGCATATTATACACACATGTTTACACGTTTAGTAGGGGCCCTGTAGACGGGCTGAATCAAAAGAGAACCTTCAGCATGGGGACCACATGGGTAATTACTTGGCCCATGGCTTGTCTTGCTGGCCTTCCCAATTTGGACCCGCCGTACATACACTTGCCCGCAAAAGCCACATAACCCTAGAAACCTTACATACAACTTATTAACCCCTATAACTCTATATAACCCCTATATCACCCCTATATAAATCACTCCTATATAACCCTTAACTCGAAACCCTTTAACGGCTATTTATAGCCCTTAAATTCTCAACCCTTCAACCCCTATTTAACCCCTAAACTCTCAACCCTTCAATTCCTATCTTAGGAACCATACGTCCTTTAGCTTCCCTCTAAGCCTTAAACTCTAAACCCTAAACCCATCCCTACTACCCGAGGCTGGCCGAGGCGTCTGCACTGGTGGCCGCAGGGCCAGGCCTTACCACAGTTAGCATCTGAAATGAATCCGCTCCCCCTAGTATTAACTCCTCCCACCCTTAATCGGCTATATAGGGGTTTATGGTTTAGGGTTTAGGGCTGGTATAAAACCCCCCGACCCTCCCCCCCTAACATTAAATACTCCCATTCTGTGGTATATTATAATACATATTGAGAGTATTTAACATTAGCGGGGGGACTAATATAAGGGGGGAGGGGATTAGGGGTATCTTCAAAGGGGTATAAAGGTTTATGTAAGGTTACACAGGGTATGTAGGGTTATATAGGGCTTAGGGTTTCCCAAAGCTATCCCTGCAATAAGGACTTTATAAATTTGGGGTCTATCTTGTGGTCCCCCTATTTTGGAAACTACCATTTGGGGGTTCCCAATGATCTGGGTCCCTGCTGACTAAGTAAGGTTTATGCTGCGGTTTGGGGCATGTAGGGGGACTCCAATTTCTGATCGCATTTAGGGATTGGGCACGTGGGGCTTAGGGATTAGGGTTCGTGGTGGAGGGCTGGGGCTGAGAGTTGATGGACTGATTTGGGTTTGCGTGCCGTTCATCCGGCTCTGCCTCTGTGACCTGTACAAGCAAGGGCAGCAAGGGCTGTGAACGGGCAGCTAGGACGTGTAATGCACTTAGACAAAGCTTCTTTATGATCCTCCTTCAGACGTCTAAGAGTGTTGTATCCCCCTTAATATAACCCCTATAGTAGTCCCCTATATAATCCCCTATATAACCCCCTTTAAGGAGTTTAGACTAGCATGTCTTTGGTTCAAAATGGTTGCAAACGCCTGGGCCTGCCAAGGTCTTAAAGTATGGTCGCAGCGAAGGCTTTCTGAAAGCAAATTGCATTTTGAAGGGTGCCAAAGCGCTGGAGCTGTCAGCTATGAGCTATGAAAGTCTCTTCGAATCTTGGTCCAACAAGCGAGAAGGTCAGAGTTGATATGGGGATTTCCCAAAATTAGGGTTACCTTTTTAGGGGTCCCCATAATATGGATTATAGTATTTTGGGGTCTATATTGGGTTCCCCCTATTTTGGGAAACTACCATATGTGGACAAGGCCAAGATTCAGGATTGTTGCAAATTTGTGTCTCATGTCCTTCAGCTACCATGATCTCCTTCCAGAAGTCTTTGTGCCATGTTGCAAGGGTCTCAGTCAATAAGAGTGCCCACAGAAGCCCGCACACGTTCCCATTTTATTGCTGGTTAGCCTTCTGCCATAATCTCAACTTCTAGAATACCCTCATAATGTAGTCCCCTATGTAAACCCCTTTCAGGAGTTTAGACTATGCCTCCCGTGTACCTGTACCCAGTGCCAGTATCACAAGGTGCGCGTAATCTCTTTCTTGCAGCAACCCCGAGAAAAATTGAGCCCGAGAAGAGAGTTTAGGGTTTAGGGCTTAGGGGTTTACAGTTTAGGGGTTAGCGCTTGTGCAGCAAACGCTTGCGCTGGAGTCAAGAATCTCGGAAATAGAAAGCAAGCTGTGCCCAAGCTATGGTCCCTTTTCATCCAAACCCCCTAATGGATCCAGAAAGTAGATTCCGCTTAAGGGTTCCTAGAAATCACCCACTCGTGATGTAGGGTGCTTGCTGTATTGGGGCTTCTGCTTTCTAGGTTCAGGGGTCTGTCCGGCTTTGAATTCTCGACAGTCCTTTTTTGAGGGGGGTATACAGGGATCCGAACTTGGACACCCCGACATGAATGGACTAGATGCCATGCAAAGCCTTCATCGAGCAAAGTAGAAACATTTCTATGCGCAAGAACATTGGGGCACCCCACCTGACCTTTCAAACCTTAGGATCCCACACAAAGGGAATTATGTGGACTTACTATTTGACGAAGCAAGTGACACAGGCCCAGCAAGCTGTGGTCCACGCCAGCATTTTGCCGAAGCCATCTGCAGCTCTTTGCAGGTTGGTGGTTTGGCATTCCTCCGAGGCAACGCAAGGAAGAGTTTGCAGCAATTGCATCTTCAACAGTGGATCCCCATATTCTGTTCCAAGGCTCTATGCTACAATTTTGTGACCTCACAAATGCGGAAAGAAACGTTGCAACAGGGCTACAGTACTACTTCAAACACACAAGCCAAGTAAGAGACTTCCTTTAACAACAGGGAACAAGCTAACTCTAATGATCTTCGTGCTGCTGCAGGCATCGAGGTCGCCAAGCAGCATGCAGGCGCAGCACCGAACAAGCGCGCTCCAATTTTGGGACTAGCATGGCCATTTGTGCGTATTCGTCTTGCGGACAGCTCGAAGCAGCTCCAAACACAACATTTCCAGAAATAAAGCCCAAGACAGGCTCGCAAGCTGACATTTGGAGATGAGGGTTCTGTTGCAATCGCTGCAGGCCAGCTGCCACGACTAAACACGCACATAGCAATCGGCCCTTAGAACCAAGGCAAGCATGACCCTGGCTCCGAGGTCGAATGTTTATGCCCGACGAAAAACACACGTAATGCCATCGGTGTTTGAAACCAAAGCAAAGCAAGTCCATCCTGGCTTGGGTCTGCATGACTTTGCGCTGAAACAAAGACTATTTCTATTTACAGCCTTCGAACATCAGCGGAAGAGTAAACTCTCAAGGCCAAGCAGCCCCAGCCAGTACAAGCTCCTTGTCAGGAATTCATGCTGTCAGAGTAGGGCTGCCCCCAAGGCAAGCAGGACCCTGGAGGCAACAAGCCTAAGGGAGCGGAGCTAGGGATTGCGACGCGAGAAGTGGACGATGAAGTAGAACGTATACCTGCATCATACTCTCTGATACAAGGCTGGATAAGGTATGGTAGGGACCTCCTGCATCCGCTGAGCGTAGTACAGCTAGTGAGCTACCGCCTCTAGCCGGAAAGTGCTTACTATCGGGTTATCTACAGCATGCTTCTGATTGTTATGCGTCCAAGGCATGTCATGACTTTAGCTAAGGCTGTTGTGACCTCGCTTGGCCCCACTCCCTCACAACTCTGCCACGCGGCTTCCAGCAAATCAGCTGAGCTTGTTCGCTATACACATGCATGTGGTAGCGGCAGGCAGCCAGTGATGAAACTGGACACACGATAGAGTGTTGTCTTGATATATCAAGCTTTCACAGCCCCATGCAGCTACAGTCTGTCAGCGGTCATGCCCCAAGGCAAAGCAAGACCCTGGAAGCATAACTCGTGACCTGCTGTAGGGAAAAAAGCTGCGCAAGCGTTGCCGGCATACTGTACATGATCCTGCGACAACTGCCACAAATAACATATGTGGCCAGCTCTCAACGCGATGGCCCTTGGTACTCCGGGTAGCCTAAGCTGGAATCCGTGCGTAAGCCTCCTTCTGCCACAATCATGGGCTCCTCCTCGTTCTCATCCTCATCCGCGCCCTCCTCCTCACCCTGCTCGCGGGGACCATCCAGGCGCACCCTTGGCCGCCCGCGCTTTGGGAGGCAGCGGAGAGCTTGGCCCAGCAGCTCGAAGTCAGACTGCAGCGCCAGGATGTGAAAATTGTCGAGTTCGTAAGCGCGACCTGGGACGGAATTTGCGTTGGCACATTTCTGCTGAGGACACTTCATCAACAATCAACACGTTGGTTGATTGGGGTCCCTCAGTTGTGCTACATCTGACTACGCCAAGGGGCCATCCGCATTCAGGAGCTCCTGCATCTGCGGCTCAGTCAGGGGCACGTAGAGTGCTTTGACCGGAGACCAGGTCGGAGCCACCTGGGGGAAGCTCTCAAGCCCTCAGGTCTCAGGTTGTATGGCAGCCTAGGAAGGGAGCCTGGGATTGCAAGTCAGAACGAATGCTTCCACCTTGCAAACACAAACTGCGGAGTCAATAAATGTGCTTCGGAAAACTAAAGCCGCTAGAATGCCCTTCTTGGAAGGTGTCTTTGAATCTCCGCACAAAAGGTTACAGGAATGTTAAAACCCTAGAGCTCTCTTGTGCTGAAATACGAATTATATGTATGTATATATATATATACATACATGGGCGTGAGAACGCATTGCTGAGATGCGCCGTCAAGAACCCGCTATTCATAACAAAACGGCGATGATACTTTCATGTATCTAGCCAGCCCAAGTACATGCATGATGTCGTCCCTATCACACCGCCTCACAGCCAGCTTCTAAGACACAGCGATGCAACTGCCATAGGGGGCCGACGGAGTTGAAGAGCACCTCGTTGACCAATGGCGCATTCCTCCTTGGCGCAGACAGATTCACAGTCAGAGTACCTGGTATCATGTGGTATCTAATGAACACGGAAGTGACTTCTACAAAAAGCCTAACTACCTAACAGCCAACCAGATACACACTAACAATGCTCAAGCATCTGCCGGGTGAGGCGAAACACAACTACACCCTCGGGACTCAAGGCGGGCATGTCCATCTTGCTGTTGCGAAGTGCCGTGAGTAGATTATCTGCAGAGTCCTTGTCCGCAGAGCCAGATGCATCATCTTCACTCTGAACCTCTTCATGCTCCCCATGGGTGTCCACTCCGATTGCGTTTTGCTCTGCAGTGTTGGATGCAGCCCCAGACATAATGGACTTAAATGCGTTTCTGCAAAACTGCTCCACCAACAGGCTGGCCGCATTCCTCTGAGTTCGCTTTGCGGTTGCATGCAATCTTGCACGTGCCAAGCCAGTGAGCACCTCCCCTTCGTACCCTGAGATGAGGTCTAGGATCTTGGGCCTGGCAGCGGCAAAACCAATCACGGCCTTGACAATGGACGCAGGCACCTTCTTCCCGGAAGCCCACATCTTCAGAGCCTGGAAAAGTCCAGCACCAAGCTGGCATGCAGCAACATGCCATGATTCATCCAAAGCTGTTTGTATTGCTGCTGACGCAGCCTCCCTTCGCTGCTCGAAGGTCGCCGGAGGGCTGAGCCGGTTGGCTGTTGACATCAAGCTGGATGCGCCGCAGCTCGGACAGGCAAACGCCAGCTGGTCAACGCAAGGACTGCGGGTCCACTCGGACATTTCTGTGAAACCGTGCGACATGCACAGTTCTGCGCAGTCGCGCTGACCGCAAAGCAGACACAGGTCCAACACGGTGACATCGGCCAAGCCATAGCTGTAGTCACAGTCTTTACACTCTTCAAGGATGATGCAGTTACCAAAGTGTTTGACGGTAGGACTCACGTGTCTTAGTGCCCGCAACTTCTCGGCACACACCTGGAGGGGACGGCCGTCGCCTGCATCTTCCAGCAGGAAGACTGCTAGCCAGTTGCAAGGTCCCGGATTCCACGGCTCGGCTGGTTCTTCCTCTGTCGGCAGCACGGCCTGTGGCTTTCCAAAAAAAGCGGTCAAATAGCTGGATTCCCCCTCCCCCCATTATGCCCGAAACAGTTGTGGTTCAGCTTCGGGAAACCTCACCTCAATCCTCTGCCACAGCTCGTGGTCGTAGATGGCCATGGCCAGCCGGAAAGGAATTCCGCCAACAACCCCCGTCTGTCCAGCTACCAGGCCTGAAATACTTGTCTGAACGGCGACAGCCACCGCAATGACCTGGGGATGCTTTACGTAGAGCCACGTTCCACACTCCGCGGACTTTTCTGGGAAGATGTCCTGCCACATCCTTGGCTGGTGTCAGGACTCTTGCTGAAAGACCTGTAGTAGCTTGCTGTGATGCGTCAACAGGCCTAAGATGCTGAAGCCCTCACAGGCTAGAAAAGGGCAGCTAAGTGTCCATCTCCTGAGGGGCCGGTAAGGGCTCTGTGAGGCCTGCAATGCAGCAAGGGTTTCATCGCCAGTGAGAATGGCAAGGTCGAGCAACCTCGCCATGGAGCGGGGAGAGATGACGACATGCTGCAAAGGTTGCCCAGACTGCAAGGCATCCGACACCGCACAAGGCACTGGTCTGGCCGCTGCAACCTCTGCAGCCCCGACTGCGTGGTCAAGACCTGCTGCCCAGTCTGCCATCCACCATCCGTTTTCACCTACAATGTCGAAACCATAACAATGTCGAAACCATAACAGCAGCTGTCACACGACCTCCAGCTTTTCCCGCAGCTGCAATCGTCATCCCATCCGTTAGCGAATGGTCGAGCATATGGGCCCAGGTGATGGGCCCAGAGCTCGCACCCTGGCACCTCATGCACCAGCAGTGCAGCAGCGGTGTTATGATGGCCAAAGTGCAGGCAGCAGCCGAAAAGGTGGCAAGCACCGAGCTTCTGGCCAAGGAGCCGGGCCTTACCTAGCAGGAGGGCTTCTGCTACCCGGAACTCGTTCACATCAACGATATCCCCCGGCAGTACCTCATCCCCGGCTCCTGGCCTTAGCTGGAAGAAATCGCGAATCTCCATCCTGCTCGTTGGAAAGAACCAAAGCGAGGCTGGCAGTACTGCTGATGGAATTGAGCCCGCGCGCCAAGTTGTACTTGCAAAGCAACAATAGAGGATGGAGCTGATGTTGGTTCTTCATCCTTCGGCTTTGCATCCCGAATTGACTGCAAAACCAATACAACAGTCCAAGGGCTGCAACAACTTTCAATTCAAAACTGGGTCCCAAGCGCGGAGCCCCCTGAACCGGAGTGCAGGCCTCACAGCAGCCATCGGACTCGACACGTTGTCCGCGGAAGCGCAGTTGAACCAGTGCTCGGGTTAGCCAAACCTTTGCAGGTCAAGGGCTGTGGGTGTTGCAGGGTTGACATCTGTCAGGGTGTAAGGATTTTGTGTCAGCGGGGGTAGAGGGTAATAGTTGAAGCCGCCTCCCCCCCCTCCCCAACTGCATTGGTGGTTGGACATGTGGAAACTCAAAGCTTTACCCCCCACCCCCGGCCTCCTACAGCCTACCAAGCTGCACTTACGCTTTTGAATCATACTTGCTCTCATTTACAAAGGATTTTCCTTCTGACCCACCCACCCCGCCCCCCACACAAATGACAAGTAACGGCTTCGCACCATACGTTAAGCCCCGGTTTTGAATCATGTGTTTGTGTTAACGAAAGCGGCGGCAAACTTGCTCATCGGAAATTCGAATTTCAGATGCTTTGCCGGCGTTCGCCAGAACAGGCAAGATTGCTGGTATTTGCAAGGGATCCTGCTCCTGTCAAGTACGCGTGGTATGCCCTACGGGGAAAGACAACTAGCTGCAGGGTCAAGGAGTCAGGAATGTTCAGTGCTATGACCCCCATGTGCTGTGGCCACCATGTCATTGAACGTGCTCCCTTGTGCACAGCTGAGTTGAATGATCTAGGCCTGGCTAATTTGTTGCAGTGTCTTCTCAGAATCTGTTCTTCAGAGTGGACGTTCCAGTCATACCTGTCTATGTCGCTGGGACCGATGTTGCCAAACGATACTGCACTGTGATGGCTAGATACAGGAGTTCATGGCTTTGGGTCTGGGTCATGCTGAGCTCTTGTGTGTGCTGCCCTGTATGGCTTCTCACTACCCTGTGCCAAATTCAGCAACATTAGGTGCTCAGCCTTCATCGCTGTAAAGGCTCCATGCTCTAACCCTCAACCCGAAGACCTGATTCCAAAGCAGCTGTAACTTGCGAGCAGCTGAGGCTGGGACAGCTGACTCCATTCCTCACCACGGACAGAAGCAAGCAAAGGTTTGGAACAATGGGTCGGGGATGGTCGGCGTGTTTCTTTTCGAATTAACTTCCTTTTCAATGGTGAAGCCCACCTTCTCCACCTAATCTCAAACAAGAAAGAAAGGGTCTTCCTGTTCCCAGTCTTAGAAGTCAATTGCAGTGAGCAAACTTCGCATAAGGGGCACTATCAGGAGACAGCAGATGATATTTACGAGCCTGAGTGAGGCCTCAGGGAGGTCTGACAGAGTGCTTAGTTGTAGCTCCCCCAGTATACGGTCTGTTGAGGTTTCCCTGATGGAAGGTTGATACCGAAAAATGAAGCAAAACAAACTTCCGTTTTGGGTACCAAGGGGTCTCATATGCTGTCTGCTGTAGCTGCTGCGTTGCGCTGCTTCCTACACTTTGAGATAATCACTCACAACAGATGAACGAATCGAAAGTAATCATCACAACAAAACCATAGAAGTCTGAGGAAAGGAACCCTCAAGTCATCGCTGAGTGGCGCAGCGCGTCAACGATCTGCCTCGCCGCTTCTTCGCAGGCTGGCTTTGAAGTGGACAGACCTGAGTACTGTTAGAAACATGATGCCCGGACCGTGCTGTGGATTCTGGAGTCTCGTGCAGGTGGGTAAGCACGTGGCAACGTTAAAGAAAACTCAAGGGCTTACACAGTGGGGCTTCTCAATTCGAAAGCTAGTGAGGTGGGTGCTCCATCGTGCGTTGCTTTACGCCCTGGACTGTCGCAGTCATTGCAGATTCGGGTCTGTCATGTGACCTACCAAGTCTAATATCCCCTATGAGCTTGACAGAATCTTGCCGTGTCCCGAAAAAAAAGTGAGGTTTGTCAAGAGGTGAGAATTTACGGGCCTATGGTTGGGTTCTAGTCTAAACCACTATAAGTAAGGCCACAAGTACCCTGAACCTCTCTCCCTCTCTCCCTCTACACGAAACCTAAACCGAACAACCCAACTCTAAACTGGATCTCCTAAAGCTCAACTACACACTAAGCGGTCCCAGAAGCCAAACATGTAACTACCCTGGAGCTCAACCTCAATCTAAGCAGAAATCGTAGCACTAAACGCCCGAAACTTCCAGGAAACTCTACACTTACAAATATAGCCGCCTAGAAGGCCTAAAAGAGTGTCTTCGGGCCCTTTTGCTGTAACTGTATACGAATAGACGACGACCACGATGGAAACCATTAGGCTTCTACATTTGCATACCCTATACAACCCAGCCATAAGCCCAGATCCTTTTCCATCTTTCATTCTAAATTGCATTTGATTCTGCATTGCTCCCCTGATTGCAGGTAAATTCCAGGCTTCGTAAGCTAAACCCTGAACCTTAAATCCCTAAACCCTTAACTGAAATAAGGCCCCAGCCCTCATCCCGCACTGAGGGGTTTGCTCGCGCATGCAGCAAGGCCTGAAGATCACTTGCTTAGGGTTTAGGGTTTATAGGCTATATACTTGATTAGACTGCGGTCTTGGGGATCCCCCGGTAAAGGGTTTATAGGGCGACGCAGAGGCCTGAGCAATTAGAATTGGGTGTTTGGGTATGCTTCGCAGGGATGGAAAAGAGGATGGACTAAGCTTTTATGTAGGGCTTATGGTTCGGGGTAATGTAGGGCCATCTTAACTTTGAGAATGAAATCTGATGATGAAATGGGAGCTCCCCTTATACAGGCGCTTATGCTGCTTGCATGTGGGGGCCAATACTTGCTGGCAATAGGATTGATTTGGGGTATACTATTAATTATAGCGCCGGTATATACCGATGAGGAGGCAGCAGTGGTGGTACTCATTCAGGTTGCAAATGATTCAACTGTTTAGACAGTGGAAATGGAGGCTGATTTGGAAACATGCAAGCACCAGTATCAGACTGCCTTAAGGAATCCTGGGACCACCCGCATTATTTGCGTGGAAGCGGCAATGCTGACAGCGGCTCGCAGCTGCAAGCCTTAGCCCTAGATCCTAAGCCCCTAGCCTTTTGAAGGATTCTGCCCCCTTCCTATGTCACAGATCCACCCAGCTGGTCCATTTAGGCCCCCAAACTTGGTAAGACAGGGTACCCTACGTCCCCCTTTCTCCTGCAGAATGACTAGTCTGTCCCCTGAACCTAAGACGTTCAACATCCTGTACATGCAACCTTGCGTGGATGCATGCATAATAAGCTGGGATGGGAGCATTGACGAAGTGATCACGCTTGCGCCATGCGGCATAGTATAAGAGGCTGATACCTCGCACGCGAGTGTCTTTGAACATCGCAAAAAGCTTATCGACTTTTGCAGGGGACGTTTGAAAGATATTGGAGGGAAGTATGACCGAGGGAGAATTACTGAAGGCATGTGCATACTTAAATTGCACAATCTGATGCTCTGAAAACGTAGCACCTTCAGTGCCAAGCAATCGTCGTCGTAATCCCTAACCGGTGTGCCAAACTCTGCTAGTGTAGCGTGTAATATCCAATACACCTAGATACTAAAGTGTGACGATTTCTCAAAATGATCTTTATGTAATTCCTAGTAAAGACCCCCAGAATCAGCATATATCTATATATATAGATATATACATCTATATATATATATATATGGGGCTTCTCGAGGTTTTTGAAAACCCCCCGATCAACTGGAGGTTGCCCGGCCCGGATCTCAGCTCACTATCCCAGATACTTAGCTTGAGAGCGTCACTAGCAAACTGTTGACTGGTCGTGTCTTGAAACGCGTCCAAATTACTTCTGCAAACAAACTGGCAGCCCCGGTAGCCTAGTAAAAATTGGCCGCCAATCTATTCTAGAGTAGCTTCATGAGGAACCCAGCGCCCAAAAAAGGGGAGCCAGCCGCTCCTAAGTTTCAAACAAGGATGCGAGCCCTTTGGCTGTCACTGGCTGGGATCCAGGCTCCTTTCCCAGGTGATGCACGACGGGGCCTGGACAAGGCGCGGCCACCCAAAACTCTAATGCCTTGACTGAACTGGCAGTGCCTCTTGGCACAATGCGCTGATGAACATGACAAAACCCTTCAGAGCCTGTTCCAGCCTAGAATTTCATTTTCTGATGTTCTTTCGAAAGCCCAAATAAATGCTGTTTACATGTATTGGGGTTTCAGGGATTTCAAAACTGCAAGTCAACGCTGACATCCTTTTCCCTATCAAAAGCTTTGGCAAAACTTCGGGCTTTTGCCTGCCTCGTGAAGACCATCAATGTCAAGTGTTGCCAGCTTCCGGATGCCGAAGCCAGCCGCATCCCGAGCATCTATGGCCTGTCTCTTAGTTGCTGGTTGCTGGTAAGGACGAATATGAAGGATTGGATAAGAAAGTGGAAACTTCCATTTAGGGATTCAGAGTTTAGGGTCTACAGGTTTTAGCGGTTAGTAGAAAAGGAATGGAAAAGAACATGGAAACTACGAGATTACTAGAGATTCTCTAGGGGCTGCTGTAGGGATCCATATCTGCACTCTCTTCCAATCACCAGTAAGGGCTTCAGACGGGGAAAGCTGTAGGGTGACTTTGGGCAGGTTGCAGGGTCTCCCAGCCTACAGGTTCTCATGATTTACAAGGCAAGCACACCTGAAAGCCTACAACCCAAACCGTTAACACCTGTACTCCAAACTCTTTAAAAGGGGCTATATAGGGGATTAGATAAGGGAGTATTACAGGGGTTATTCAGGGGGATGCTAGGAGTTCAGACTACAGCTCACATGGCTCACCATTCCTCAGCCCCGAGGTTCCAAACTTCAAACCCCAAACCCTAGGCCGTAAATCGCACATCCGGAGCCTGAATCCCAAATCCCAAGCCCTATCAGCCCTAAATCCTGCTTCCGCAGCCCCGGACACTGAGCCCCAAATCCTGAATCCGAGGCCCCATAAGCCCTAAACCCTACATTTTACGCTCTAAATCCTAAAGCCCTATAGGGATCATATAGGCCTGATCCATGAGAACCCAGGGTTCAGGGTATAGTCCCCCTTAAGTAGATAGAATATGGTTTTGGGTAGATTATAATAAGATCCCCATATACCCCATATTCTATCTACTTAAGGGGGACTATAGTCTCTTGCTTCAACTTGGGCCGCGGCATGGAAGAAGGCCTCGGCCTCCTCCGGGCGTATGGGGCGTCGCTCAGCCGTGCCTGCATTCCATCCCAGACCCCTGGGAGGATCTAGAAAGTAGAACCCCCATTTTGGTACCCTATACTACTATTGGGTAATTTCTAGGAACCCTTAAGGGGGATCTACTTTCTGGATCCTCCCAGGGGTCTGGGATGGCCAAACGACCCATCAGTCTGCGGTGAGTTGAAGTTTAGGACTTAGAGACGGGATTTAAGGATTAGGTCTGCGTGGATTTTCAAATGGCGAGGAGCTATGAAGGGTTTCGAGGTTCTAGGTCTCTGGGAAGATTCAGGGCCCAAGCAATTGTACGGTGTGCATAGAACAAGATACAACTTTCATGTCGCAGATGATGTGTCTGTGTGATGCCCGGCAGATGGTACTTGATGCACTGGGTCATTGCCCGTGAGACTGCCATGCTAGACTGCACGCCGGCCTGTCGCACGGCTGTTGAAACCATAAGAACTACTTGGACAAGCTCTGCATATTGCCGCGTTTAGCTGCAGAACTAGTACTCGGACATACTGGTTCCAGCATCGAAGAAGACAATTAATTGTTGTTCAAGGAGGTGCTGCCTACTACTCTTGAACAAGCTTTTCCACTTTTTGGCAGCGCAGCACATTCCCCACATCCTCTATACTCCACCTTGTTTCCTATGCTGAAGCCAGAGTCGCTTTTCAAAGAGCTGCGCAGTGAAAGCTGCGCGAGGCGCAGGAAACCGTCCATGACAGCTCAGTAGTCCTCACGGCCGCAGCACAGGAAATGTTTTTTAAAACGTAAGGGTGACGCGAGAAACCCTGGGGATGTGGGAGGCTGAGGGAATTTGTAAGGTCTGCCCTGGAAGACTACTTCTAGGAACGCATTGAGACGCTCTCAAAGCGGTTTAAAGGTATCTAAGACGCAAACAACATGGAACATGTACTGCCTGCACAGGCATTGCTGCCGTGGACGACTTAAAGATGGGGGATGCTTGCATGTGATGGGCTGTTGTCAACAGCGGGAGTCAGGCTTTTAATCACAACTTCCAGCAGTGTAAGCATGAAGAAAGACCCACCGCTTTCACAATTTATGCTGTGCTGCTGTCGAAGTGAGATACGGTACAGTTTTCAAGGCAACTACTCAAACAGCCGGAAGGACCTCGCATGTACTTGGATGCGAACCCCTCAAGGAGACCTGCATTAGGAACTGTATACATGGGGGTTTCCCAAAATTATGGGTACCTTTTGGCGGTCACTACAATAAGGACTATAGGTTTTTGGGGTCTACGCTGCGTTCCCCTTCCTTGTTCAAGGGAAAGTACCGCATCTACCTCCAGGCAGGCGTGCCTGCTCGACCTCTTGGGCAGAACGATGGTGTTCCACAGGAACACTTTGTGGTCCCTAATTTGGAATGCAGGAGCCCTAAACACTAAAACGGTCGTAGTTCTGATGTCATTCGCAAACGCAAACAGGTTTCCTGGGCATTTCCGGCAGCGTCTGTAAAAATGAGCTTAGCTTGCTTGCACACCTCGGAAGCGATCAACCTGTGCGGACCTCGCAACAGCTAATTACACATGATTTCCAACAATCTACGGCCCTGAATGTACACCCAACATACTTGGATGGCTTCGGCAAAGGCCCTTATACCTGATGATTGCTGTCTTTTGACAATAATTCATCATGCCTCACTCCATGTCCTCGTCCCACTGCTCGTCCCAGTTTCTGCTGCCGAGTGCCTTCCCCAGTTGCGATGGATCCTTTGTAGGAAGGGGGCGGGGCGAATAATTAGAAGCAACATTAGCACTCTTCACCAGGGATTGCGATGTATGTATCTTACCGTGAGGCTGCCCAAGGAAAATACACCAGGGTTTTGGTTCTTAAAATTGAGCCAAGTCAGCGTAGGTTTTTGTAACAAAAACACAGCTGGAGACACAACAACATGAATCATTAAATAAATAAACAAACAAATACACATATATAGATATATACACGTATATATAATATATGTACCCCCTCCCAGGATGTCTACTCCACAAACAAACCTCGAACCTTATAAGCATAGGCGTCTTTTAGAAGGACGGGAGCTCGTACACTGCTTCTTCCAGTGATCCATGTTAGCTTGGGGGATATATAGCCCCAGTATACTACAGTAGTTTCCATTGAATTTTCTATTATCCCTATATTACCCCCCCTATATAACCCTGATATATACCCTATTATAGTAATTTCCATGTTCTTTTCCATTATCCCTATATCACCCCTAGATCCACTTCTGAGGCGCGGACCTCTGGAAGATCTCCCATGAACACCAGCGACTTGCCTGCATCTCGCGAGTCCTTGATTGTGAGGCCATCGTCGCTGAGCTGGATACTGCCATCGTGGCCTTGGGCTTCATGCTTGGTTATATAGGGGTCATGGCAAAGAAAAATTGAAGCTACAACATTTTAATAGGGTATATATAGGGGTTCTAGTGTAAGAGGGTTGGTGAATGTCAGGTATACTTAGAGGTTCACTCTCACAAGAGCTTGCAGCTAGCTATGACCATGATACCCCTACTTGTATCTCAAATATCACTGGCGACCCTCCAAGTAGGGATCCGGGTTTCAGGGCTAAGGTAAACTGGACTTGTGCTGCGGAGTCCTTCGACGGAAATCTGAGCACCTCCACTTGGCCAAGCTTACGCAATAGTCTCAGCAACCTCTAAACTCTGAGCCCAGAATAGTGGAAAAGAAAATGGAAACTACTACAGGGATTAAATTACAGGGGCTATATAGGGATAATGGAAAAGAAAATGGAAACTACAATAGGGATTCTATTATACTGTACCACATGTAAACTATCCAACTTACGCCTCGCCTGAACGTGTACCTTACTGGTTCTCAACAGGGAATGAAGACATGGATTCCCGCTGTAGTCCGCGTCTAATACCTCAGGCAGAAAGTTTCTGTTCTTCTGTTCCCTACCCGAAGCCCCTGGATTTATGGTAGGTAATCATGAAATGGACAAGAACATGGAACTACCGTATTATCATAGGGGTTTTATGGGCTCTACTCTGGGGATCCATTCCTCGATATCCTCCAGTCCCTAGCTACCAGCCTGGCCTCAGTGGTTTTAGGACTCAGGTTCCAGGGTTGAGGTTGGATTTTACGCTCCCTTTTCTTGAGTGGGTGCTTCTGTCTTGCGGTCCGTATACGACGGAGGTTTCAGGGGTTTTGGATACATATGAGCTATAGTCTAAACTCCGAGTGTACCCTTAATAAACCCGATAATACTCCCCTATATAACCCCCTTTAACGAGCTTAGACTATGGTTCATATAGGTTTTAAGGCCGTTTGGGATGACGCGTGTTCGTTACACTAGTTTTCAAATTCCGAAAGAGGAGAGCTGCAATCGGCAGTTTGAAGCTCTAATGCGAAACCTGGGTGTCTTTATCTTCCTGGTTCTTATTTGGGAATATGGGAATGTATCATATAGCAATTTTATAGGATGATATTCCGGTCTTCCCTACTAAGAACCAGTAAGTCTTGTAATTTCGGACAAACTATTGAAGTGTGCTGCATCCAACGCACTTGCTGAGAAAATCCAAACTCCAAAATGAGCTATAGTCTAAACTCCTAGTATCCCCGTTCATAACCCCTAGGATAGTCCCCTAAGTAACCTCCTTTAGGGAGTTTAGACCCTAAATTCTAGAGTCTAACAAGCTCGCTGAGAAAACCCAAGCAACTAATTCCTAACCCCTACAGCAATCTCAATTTTCCTTTCCATTTTCCCCATAACCCTAAGCCTCCAATATAGCTACAGTGGTTTCCATTTTCTTTTCCATTATCCCTATATATATATGTGTAGACCTATTACAAACCCTAAGCCCTCAACCCTTAACTCCCAAAAATGCTACAGTCCTTGGAATCTTGGCACCCCCAACTCTTCTACCCTAAGCCCTAAACTCCAAACCCTAAACCCTACATAATCCCCTATACAATCCCCTTTGAGGACTTTAGACTATAGCTCAGTATGGTAGTTTCCCAAAATAAGGGGACCCCAATATAGACCCCAAAGTGCTACAATCCTTAATATTGGGACCTTTGAAAGGGTACCCCTAATGTTGGGAAATCCCCATAGCTACAGTCCTCGGAACCTTGGCAAAACCCAACTCGTCCAGGTGCCCCGGCGGCCAGTTCCAAAGTTACCACCTTCATACTCTACGGAGATGGCTTTCGCGACCTGATGTAGATGGGGCTTAGGGTCATATTAGGCCCCTAAAATGGAGAATTAAATGGAAAAGAACATGGAAAATGAAATGGAAACTTGTGGAATATAGGGATCTAAAGATATAGTGGCTATCTAGGGGTTATATAGGGATAGTGAAAAAGAAAATGGAAGCTACTATTTAGGGTTTAGGGGTACGGAGATGGCCCTCGCGACCTGATGCGGATGGGCTACAAATAGGGTTTGGGGGTTTAGGGTTTATGGGTGTGATGTAGTGGATTCAGTGGTGGCGCGAATCGCTAGCTCTGAGAAAGACTTGTGCACTGATGAGGCGTTCGGCTTGGAATGAAGACTGCCGGCTTAGAATACAGGGATTTGGGTCCAAGGATTTGGCTGAAGAGATGAGGGTTGGTTGTAAAAAGGAATTTGACTGAGGGCTGTTGGCACTCACACCGCTTGATTGTGAAATTGACCTACAAGTACTGTTGATGGCACCAAGAACTGAGCTGCCTCAAATTGCTACCTCAAATGGCCGGTTTCAGGTACATATGGCCATGTAGGATGTTGTGCAGCGCAAGTACCTACTGTTTGGGGCTGAAAGATGACCAATATCATTTGGGGTACCCTATATTCTTTCTGTACCGGTCGGCAGTCCAAAGGAATCAACGCCCTTGTACATGTTTTCTAGCCCATCCTGTGAGCCCTAGATCCGAGGCCCTCCTCAAGCAAGTTACAGTTACATGGTCAGATGGACCCTTGATCTGGACTTGGGATTGACGATGTTGGGGATTGCGCGATTCAAAGATGTAGAGACCTGTTGAGGCTTTGGAGGTGTTTTCACATGCGAATACAGCGGCCACAACAAACATGCTGTACTCATATGACCCCTACATAACTCTTATATCACCCCTTATAACCCGAAGAAAAGCAGCTCACTGGCATGCTAAACCCTGAAGTCTGTCGGTGAGCTTCACCCGGCTCAAGAAAGAGTCCCTTGCCTTAAGAATGCCACGCTGTCAGCGTGCCTTCTCTTTACCTCCTAGCTTCCAGCCATGAATGAACCAAAAGGTGTAATTCATTACCTGAAATTGGGGGTTGTTATGTATGAGCTCCAACAAGAGGGTTCACCCATGTCACCAGTTTGCAGACCAAGCGTCCGTGTCGAAGACAACTTGCGCTTCTCTTGCCCTCCATGCAGGAATCAATTGGTCAGCGTGCGTGTGGGCTGAGACACGAAGCAGGTCTTTGAAGAGTATGGTAGAATCCCTGATGTGTGGGCCAGTTTGATTCTCAGTTTCACTTGGTGCCTATTCACAGAACGAGAAAAATGACGTTTCCACATCTGGGTCCAGGGTCACTCGGCGAACAGAACAGTCATGCATACGGCAAAACAAAATCTTGCGAACACTTTATCTGTTCAGCATTCTCCAGGACTCAGAAACACGTACATAAACGACCCTTGCCTCGTCTGTTGTCATCTGGGATGGCATGCTATGATGTCATGGGGCCCTGATTGTACTATTGTAGGAGGGTCCACCTGAAGCTGAGGTCCACCGAAGCATGTGGTTTGAAGAGAGGAGGGATTGCGGAAGTGCTAGTTACTAGTAGAACTGCAAGCTATAAATATAAGCACCTGCTGAAGCAAATGGTACCTGCTAGATTGGTTTCAGTTCTTTGTGCAAATGGTACCTGCTAGATTGGTTTCAGTTCTTTGTGTTGGGTGGCTTCTTCAAAAACCCAAGTTAATCCCTGAAGGCGGTCCCATACTCTCCCCATAGACTCCATACACCCTCGAGGGAACGCACCCTGCTTCGACGCACGTGGCCTCAGCTTCTCGAGGACCACCTGACGGCTCAGCACAGGTGTTAAGAAATCCATGGGTAGCGGTTTAGGGTTTAGGGTTTTAGGGTTTAGGGTTTAGGGTTAAAAGTGAGAACTATGCCTGCAACTGGCTGTCAGCTTGCACAGGGTGCGTCTAGGCCAATGTGTTAACCTCTACTAACGTAAAAACCTTATGATAAACCCTATTATAACCCCTATTAGAATCCCTATATATACACCGAATGAGTATCACCCCCTATATACACCCTATTATACTCGTTATTATAACCCCTACCTGTGATCAGCCGCCCCCACCTCTCGAAGCTCCTCTTCGGGGAAGTGTTGCATCCAATCCTCGGATAGTCTTGGGAGGCTTTTGAAAAATTGAGTAAACCACATCTTGTTTTGGTCATGATGCCCCTAGACCGTAAAGCCTGTTCTGATGTGACTCCGTAGGATTCACGCCGTGATTGCGTACTTGTCAGGTGTTCGTCGTATGATGTCGTATGGGCCTGCACTCTTTCGAGGCCCTGAATTTTACACAAACGCCCGCAGTAAAGGCTCTCGTTTAGGAGCCTAATTCGGCGTAATCTTTTTAACGTCAGAATCTTCAGCTCATCAGAGGGACTGGCGCGCGTATCAGAAGTTCACCTTCAGCAAGCGGATTGCTTGCATAAAAGGCATAGGGGTCTAGGGTTTTTAAGGATATTACTCCACCTGATACGGGATAATCAAATGGAAAAGACAATTGAAAATGAAATGGAAACAGGGGGTTAGGGTTCGGCAGAACCTAAAGCTTGCATTGCAGCCCGGAATCTTCTGCTTCGCCGCAGTCCGCCACTTCTCCCAGCCTTGGCTGAAGCATCTTAAGCCTCCCGCATGTGAGAAGGGTGACACGGAAAACCCTAAATGGAAAACCCAAATATAGACCCCAATATACGATAGTCCTTAATATGGATCCCCAAACAGGATACCCCTAATTTTGTGAAATCCCTTCCTTTAAAACCGGGAACATCTCTCGAAATTGGACAGCACATGGAGCCTGTAGGGATTTCGGCAAGGCGTCCCAAAATCCAAAAAATTCTGTCAACTGTTGCTAAGGCGAACGAAGATTTCCAGGTCAACTTGTCTGCCAGTCAATCCTTGCCCTCTCGCTTTCTCTGAAGCTTCCTCTAGGTCCACCCTAGACTACAAACCGGAAAAACATGCAGCAACTACGTCTCCAAATGACACATCCTGAAAACTTCGATGCCGCTAGGCAGACATGTAAATTAAGGTTCGTATCCATAATGACAGTGACTGTTCTGATCCAAAAACAGTAGCTTCCATTCCATTTGCCATTATCTCTATATGAGTTTTTAACCCCCATATGCGTCCGCGCTCCGCATTCTCAGCCTCCCCCCCTTTCCTCCCCCCATGCTATGGTCCCCATCTGAGAATAAGCCCTTCGTGTAACCTCACAGAACCATGAACTCTCCGCAAAACTTCTCCAAGACCTTTTTTCAAACCCTCTATAAACCCCCAGCACAGGACCCACGCCACAGGACCACAGGACCCAGGACCACAGCGGGGAGGGGGAACCTTCATAAGCTTCCGCTGAAGACTCTATAAAACCTTCATAAACCTTCTACGAACCTTCCACAAAAACCAATAACATTTTGCAAGCCGTCTATAACAGCCATAACCCTCTGTAAACCTTCTACAATTCCATGAAAAACAACAACAACATCATAAACCCTCTAGAAACAATCTTTCTCTATAAGGTCCGCACAAAACTCTATCAAACCTTCAAGAACCCTCTGGAAACCTCTTCAAACATCTCTTGAGACCTCTAAACACCTGCTATTGAATTAATGAGCTGTCTGCAAACCTTCTTTAAATCTTACAGAACCCCTCCATAAACACTATGAGCTTCTTTCAACTTAATCTGAACCTTTCAATTAAACCACCAAACCCAGACCACA